AGGCGCACGCTACAAATCGGAGGGGAAGCTCGGCCCAACACTAACATATGTGTAAGCGCCAATCTATTATTAATTTTATTATTAATTGGTAAATATTGCATTCAACCAAAATCTAATTCGGTTAATTACAGTTGACTGGCCGTAAAAACGGTGTCTCAACTAACCGGTTTCGACTGTATTTAATAGTTACACGGTGCGACCGTAAATTTTAAATACAAAAAAATCAATGTATTCGCAAAACTGTTCACCAAATAAAAAAGAACTGCATTTCTAGGTTTTCTCTCCGACGTCAGGTTTTTTAATTGACTTTGAAATTTCATAATTATGATTTTTTTTCAAAAAAATTAAAAAAAAGGTAGTGCAATGTAGGAAAACGGTACGGGTATCAGATTAAATAAAAAATTCTATAGAATTACAGCCCGTTAAATTTTTTGGTGCATAAGGACGATTAGGTATTGAGAATGTCCTTATGAAATTGTATCCTTCAATATCCTTAAAATTTTGCGATAATTGTTTTTGAAAAAATTATAAGTTAAGAACTAATATACACTCGACCACATCTTCGATTCATCCTTCTAATTTTATTAGTTTAAGAATATTAAAATAATTAAAAGGGCATTTTCAATACCCATTCCAAAAAATTTTAATATTTTCTGCAGCATTTTCTCTTCATTTGGTACACATATTTTGATTCGCGACTATAATGATTACTTCGTGTGTTTCGAAATTTTTTTATTTTTGTCGCACGGTGTTATATGTACATACGTGCGTAGGAACATCGATTGCTTAAAGTAGTTATAAGGCCATCTACATATCTAGGCAACGCAATTACTAAATTTTTTTTTTCGCAAATTGTTGTTATGCTTAGTGTAAAGGTCGCAATTATCGATCCATAGTTTCAACCGGTAAACTAGAGAAAAGCATCAATAGATTAGATTTCGCTGTATTAAAATTTAAGACTTTTCTCACTATATAAGCAGTATTGGCTTCGAAAGATAGCCAGTGCTACTTAGGAATTTATATAACTACATACTCGTATAAAGTTGAAATAAAAGGAAAGAATTTTTGTGTGACCACCTAAGCAAAATGCAGAGTTTTTATGAAAATAAGAGTATATTCCTAACTGGTGGCAGTGGTCTCCTTGGAAAAGGTAAATTAGCAGGAATACCAAATTGTATTTACTAGTGATGTATATTTGTACCTTTTCGAAGAAATGTAGCTAAATTGCAGTACTAACCGTTCCTTGTGGAACTACATACCTATCCGTACTTGGACGGTAGCTGTTCAAGTGTGGGTTAGAGCCATAAACCTCCTCGAAAAAATAATTCCAGCAGTATGTGATCTAAGACAGCCGAACAACAAAAGTGAAAACCACAAAAAAAAAACTAAAATTCAAATCAAAGTTGTAACGGCATCGACAACAACTAAATATGAATGGCATTGTACCAAAGTTGCAATAATTAGAGAAATGATATTAAAATACAAGGGCGACAAATACATATGTACATATAGAGCGCTTGAAATGGCTGGCTTGTGATCAGGGCTGCCAACTATACTTAGCTATGAAGTGCCATATCGTGGATAAAAAAGTGCCAGAATGTGCAAATAGAAAAATAAAAGTGCCAAAAAAGCTGCCACGGCACGGGTGGAGCCAAGACGACAGCCCTGCTTGTGTTGGATGGATGTGCATTAGGGTGGTCCTAAATAAGGGAAGTCGGAATTTTAATGCTCTCACCCCTAGGATTGCTTGAATCGAAAAAAATGTACATCAAACTTTTTTTATTTTGAAATCAAAAAATATTTAGTGGTAACTCAAAACGCTCAAAGTTTTGTATGTATTTTATGTGGGGAAAAAAGCACTTTTCGTAAAAAAGTCTGCTTCTTTTCAGGAGATTCCAATAACAATACCCCATTGTTTATTTAACCACTTTTTAATGATACAATTTTTTTATTTATACCCCGATTCCATTTTCTGAGGATTTCGGCGGACCTATAAAATATAGTTACTATGAAAAAATGGCTAATAAATAATTGAGTATTATTATTGGGAATCTCCTGCAGAGAAACAGGGTTTTTCGATCGGAGAATATTGATTTTCAAGAATTCCATACCATTTCTACGGGGAGAACGCCCATATAAAATACATGGAAAACTTTGGGCGTTTTGAGCGACCTCTAAATATTTTTCGGTTTCAAAATAAAAAATAGGGGTATGTTTTTTTCTATACTGGGCAACCCTAGGGTGTGAGAGCATAAAAATTCCGACTTTAAATTTTCAGATGCATTTTTGGGCCACCCTACTGTGCATTAATGCGCAGTAATTTCTATTTTGATGTATAGAGCAACAGCCGGCTACCAACATTCGCTATCTCTACGGTGACCAGATCTATGTGAACAAAAATCGAGACATTTCTACAGCATCGAATCCGAACTTACGATTTTTTTTTTAGACATAATATCTTTTAGCAAAGTTTTATTTAAGACAAAACAAAGAGAAAAAACTTTAAAAATTATCGCAAAAATGTATACCTACACACAGAATATACGGTGGCAAGAATGTCTTTTTTGGTGTTTATCGTTTTTTTTGCTTTTAAACCGAAAACCGAAAATTCGGATTTTACATTCCCCAGCATTGGATAGTTATTTTGCAATTCCTCGTGATAAGAATGAAATTTTACGGCGTACCACAAACTTCAAATTAACTACATACTCAATTTTTGTTTGCTGATCTAGTAGCTAAGCATAACCGCTTGTGAGGTCGATTGCGAATATTGAAATTTCGTGCAAAGTTTGAAACTTGGATTTATATGTCGCTTGTGAAAACATAACCCATATTTTAATAAAAAATACACAAAAAATATTCTTTTGGAGTAAATCAGCGATATGTATTGATTTATAAATTAAAAATCTTTTTGTGAAAAGAAATTTGTTTTTGTATAAATAGGTCCAACGTTTAATTGCATTTCGTATATTTGGAAAGGAAGTTGTTATATAAAATTAAGAGAAATTATTGCTGTAATTAATTTGCCTTGCACAGCAGTAAGTAATAAGTGTAAGTGAAGATTTAATTTGATATCGTTTTTTTTTTTTGTTTTTTTTTTGCGGCGTTTCTTTATAATTCGGTTTTTTTGTAATATAGTTTTTTTTTACGATTTAAAACCTGAATAAAAAACGTGATTAATAAAAAAAAAGGTTTTTCGGAAACGGTGCCCGTCCCTAACATTTTAGCAAGCTCTGGCTACTTTTCTTTGTGTATTGCTTTTTTTGAAAGTATAGCTTATTATTAAAAAAACAGTAAATCAAAATTTCAAACTTTGTAGAAGATTTATAAAAATTCGATGAATTTTTAACAAATCGTGATCAAAATTTTAAATATTTTAATCTGATTTTTTAGAATTGTTTTGCAAAGTGCAAGTTTGCAGTAGCTTGGACTTACTGTATATTTTTGCAATGAATGAATGTGGGGGTTCTGACCGCCCCGCTCCCCCAAAAAATTGCAAAATCGCTATAATACTTATGTATGTATTTATACATTTTTAAAAGTCTCCATTTTCTGATGAACTCAGAAAACTGTAAGAAAACGTGTTAGTTTCGGTGCCTAGTGGAATGCGTCGTAAAAACGAAGCAGACCAATCTTCATGGAAGAGCGAACGCGAAAGCAAAAAAGAAGATAGCTATGTAAAAGTTACTGTTTCAAAACTCACTATATTCAATTTTTATATATAAAATTTGCAAAAACCTACACACTGCGATTTTGATTATTAATGTTATTAGGCTCTTATTTATCCAAATTTTCAGATGATAAAAAAAAAATATACAATTTGGATGTTACTTGTTGTTGTAGACGTTTTTTTAAATTATGGCTCACTATTATAAAATCACATAACGCTGTTTGCAAGTGGACTACTCATTTGTGCAATATTAAAAAAAATTCAACAAACTTTCGTACAAATTTCGAACTTTTAAAAATTCTAAAAATCAATCGACATTTTTAGCTATTTGAAACGTGTACTTTATTCTACTAGAATTCAATAGGCTACAAAACTGCATACTCAGAACTTAATTAAAAAACTCGAAATTTTAACGAAAATTTGTAGATTTTTTTTTAAATTGCATAAATTGTTAAGACAGTGTCACTCGATTGGTACATTTGTACAGATTTGTAAATTTTTATATTGGGCTATTGGTAAAAAAAGTGGGACAATTTTTTTTGCATTCAAAAGATTGGTACAATACAGCGATGTTCTATTGAAAAATTTCAATAAATCAATTTTCAATTTCAAACAATTGGGATACGATTTACACCAAATTTTAGCAAATACCCAATCGTGTATTGTATTGTATTGTATTGTATTAAACTTGTATTTATACGGATGTTGGTAAAGAACGAACTATAAAAAACTAACCGAAATTAAATAACAACAAAAATAGTATTTTAAAACTTGTCAAAATTTGGTGCGGCTATAATTTTTTCGACTACTGTACATAAGTTGGCTATGATTACTCGGCCGTGCTATCATAGTAGCACAATGCCACTCATATTTGACTTACAAACAAAATACGGGCAGGAATTTTAAGATTTCAACCCTGTTTTTATGAAAAATTTTATTTTTATCAGTATTTTTCTTTTAATCAAAATATGTAGAAATAAAAGTGAAACTAAAAAAAATTTTGCCAGAACCCCTCCCGAAAAAAAATCCTGGCTACGGCCCTGCAGTTTAATATACTATATAATCTGAAAATTAACTTTCAGTTAATCAACAACCTCTACTTAAATGGCTCATCTGAAATAGGCCTTTATTCAGTTTGTTAACTTTAGTACTTTCTGTAGGCGGATTACTTATATTATAGTGAAATGTCGTTATAAATGGTTTTAGTTTTAAATTACCTTTACAAAAATTACAATTCCGTTCACGTTGCAAACAATAAATTTTTCGATTTTTAACTTTTCCTGTTCCATATATGTATGAGGTTCAATGACAAGATTTCTAACTTTCACAGTGTTACTCGAGAGCTTGATGCGTAAGACTGAAGTGAAATACATTTACATGCTGATTCGTGCCAAACGCAATATCACTGCTGAGGAGCGAATAAAGAAAATTCTCGCCGGTCAGGTAATAAGTAATAATCTCTTGTTATATAAACATTGTTAAAAAAAAAAAAAACACTTTTTAATTTACCTTCAACAGCTCTTCACAAAAGTAAGAAAGTTGAAGCCCAATGCACACCAACTCATCACACCCATACATGGCGATTGTGCACAACCGAACTTGGGTATCTCCAATGAAGATCGAAAAATATTGATTGCAAATGTGGATGTGGTGATCCATTGTGCAGCTACAATACGTTTCAATGAGCCACTCTATGATGCGTTGCTCATCAATGTAGTTGCAATGAGAGATTTATTAGAAATGGCAAAGGAGATGCGGCAACTAAAAGTGAGTCCTTACTAAGTAATTAATATGCTCTTTTATTCATACATATCCCCATACTAAATATTCGCTTGCGCTCACAGTCTTTTGTACACATATCAACCGCTTTCTCAAACTGTGTTCTGCCGCACATAGAGGAGCATGTCCATCCGGAAATTCTTGGTATCAGCGCACGCAAAACACTTGAAATTGCCACGCTGCTGGGCCCAGAGCTTACAAACAGTTTGACTGTGAATTTGGTGCGCAGCTTTCCCAATACTTACACTTTTACAAAGGCGCTGGCTGAAGAGCTGATTCTGAGTGAACGCGGCAATTTGCCAATTTGCATTATGCGGCCCGGCATTAGTAACTATGTTCATATCTGATCTGCTTTATATTTGTGTTACCCGTAGTACTTTTTTATATTTCACAGTTACTTCTACATACGCCGAACCTTTGCCGGGATGGATTGATAATTTTTACGGGGCAGTGGGCACCTTAATGGCCGTAGCGCGAGGTTCACTACGAGTACTATTTGCTCATAACCATCATCCCACATTTCTGGTGCCAGTTGACTTTTGTGCGAATTTGATTTTGGCATGCGGCTACAGCGCTGGACACGTGGAAGATGTTGATAAGAAAACGGTCCGCGAGCCCACAGTTTACAACTTTGTACCGACTGATGGTAATCAGATTACCCAAGGTGAATTATTAAGATATACCGCTCGCTATGCAAAAGAACGTCCTTTTTCAAACTTACTGTGGTACCCATTTGTAATGGCGGTTGGTTCGGTGAGGCTGGAAAAGTTTCTGGGAATTTTATTGCACCTTTTACCAGCATTTATTCACGACATTTGGTTGCGATTTCAAGGCAAAAAGACGAGGTAAGCTTCTTTTCCAAATAAACATATTAATAAGTATTTACTTTAGTAAGCTTGCTTCACTCTTCCAGAACGGTTCGCATGTTTAAAAAGCAGGAGCAATTTCTTAGTGTATTGAACTATTTTAAAGCGAACGTATGGACTTTTGATTTGGCGAATACTCAGCATTTGTGGAATCGTCTCTCAACGGAGGATCAAGTGAATTTTGCATTCAATATGTCTGCGGTAAATTGGCAACATTATTTTCGAGATATGATATTCGGCTTGCGTCAGTATTTGGTTGCTGAGGAAGACGCGACTCTACCGAAAGCTTTGAAGCGCTTGCAGATGTAAGTGCAACAGATAATAAACCTATGATAAGAAATGTCTACTTATTCTCTTCTCTTTTAAGCTTTAAGTGGGCGCATCGTTCAATTCTGATTTTGTTGGCAGTGGGTCTACTACTATGCATTCGTGTAATAATTAGTTACTTTAAGTGAAAAAATGTGTGTAAAATTAAAATTAAAATTTTATACAAATAGTCACCTAAAAGAAAAATAAAAAAAGTATTAAAAGGCTGAGTTGGAAATTAAGTTGAAAACCAGAAACAATCATTACCGACCTCATGGTCACCCCACATAGCCGTATTGGTATCTCAGAGGGACCAAATTAAGTTATGATGCCGTAGAGCTAGCTAGAAAAAGGAATTAAAGAAATACAAAGGCATAACATACGTGATTTGAAAGGGTTGCTCACAACTTGTGAATTTTTTAAGGCTTTTCCTTCGGACTTATAATTTTATGCGACTATTTGAATCCCCCAAAGGTGTAGATTTTCTTATCCACGGGCCTTTCCGGGCCTTTTGGCGCGCTGTTGAAAAGGCTGTTTCCATGATAATTGGAGCAAATAGCAGGATCTCTTTTCTTATGGATTCTATGTATAATATTCGGGCATGAAATCTGCAGTCAGACTCAGGGAATCAGGACTCTGGGAAACTTGCTAATTCAGGCTTCAATAACATCCAAGCATTCAAAATGAGAGATCCAGTATGGCGAATGATTTAAAAAAATACGAAACGTTTATGAAACTTTATATAAGAGGTTTTCGTGTAGTTAATTCCAAATTTGAAGTCAGATCCAATAAGATAGATGATTTTAAAAAAAATTATTAAATTTTTATGAAACTTTCCATAGCGTTTTTTGTGGTAGTTGATTACGTATCTGAAGTCAGATTTTGAAAATTAAAAATAGCGGAACCTAAATGGCGGATGACTTTTAAAAAAATTATTAGGTACATTTTTATGGTAGTTTCCATAAGGGCGTTTTGGGGGTAGATGATTACGAATCTTTAAAAAAAAACTACTTAAAAAAAATTATTACATTTTTATAAAACTTTCTATAGAGGGGTTTTTGGGGTATCCTATATGGCGAACGGATTTGAAAATGAAGGGGTATCAGAAAATGAATTCCTCGGTGTAGGACTTACAAAGAAGGAAAAATAAATACGAAATACTTTAAAATAAATACACACAAACAAAATTTCAAAATTAAAAAATAAGCAACTAAAAACTAAAAAAAAAAAGAGTTCTAAATATCGCCCTGAAACCTCCAAGCGGTGGGCCCTGGATACTACATTTGTCGTAGGCCAACTGCAGGCGTTAGAGCAAAAATGCAGATTCGTTAAAAACTCCCATACATATTATAAAAATTTAATATATTTTTTTTTTAATACATTCTTCCGCCATATTGGATTCATTATTTTGTATTTTGAGAAACTAATACCTGTATCAGATTGTGATGAGCCGACCAACAACCCTATGAAATTTAACTTGAAACATTAATTGTCCTACGAGAATATAGGGCCTGCGAAATTTTTGATGTAAATCTTAAAAGCGGCATAAATTCTGGGTATCAATCGAAATGTTTCTTTGCTGGAGTAAAGAAGGGTTGCCACCTGTTTAAAAAATCACATTAAGTAAGAGAAACCTGTATCACCATATGGGTGCCAAACGAAAGGGGCTTCTGAAAGTAGTAGTTACAAAATATTTTGAAGAGGGTTGCCACCTGCTTGATATGTCGAATTTAGTTTACTTATACCCAAGTTACACAAAATATCAAAATATTGATGTCAAACGAAGGAGTGTTAAGAAATCTTTAGTTGGAACTCTAATAATATTTTTGAGGTGTTGGTGGAGGGTCACCACCTACTTAAAATTTTAAATTTAAAATATTTTATAAGTTAAATGAATTATTAAAATATGGGCATCAATCGAAGGGAGTTTCAAAATTTCTAATTTCTGAGCTGTATTTAGCGGGGTTGTTTGAAAATTAAAATTCCACTTAATTCATCAATTAGATTTCTAGAATATTCTTGGATTGAAAAAGGTTGTCAACGAAGCGATATTCTGCGGAAATCCGCAATAAAATCCGCGTTTCGCTAACTTTAGTTAGAAAAATCTTGCCGTATTCTATAGGAATCCGCAATAAAATTTTACGGTTTGCAAAAATCCGATGTTTAACACCTTACTAAATATATCTCATCATAAGTTTTCGAAAATAAATTACAAAAAATTTTAGATTCTCACAAAATAAACCATCTCGTCATAAAGAAAAATATTTTGAAAGTAGTTCTTGAGAACCCCCCATTTTTTAACCACGTTTTTAATAGAGAATTAAACAAGGACAACGATGGTATAATTTTGGATGCCTAATTTACTGGTCTTCACTATGCACACCAACTTCAAAAAGTTCAGCTGTTAATAGCTAAGTTAGCTTTAGGACAATCTTGACCATATTATATATAGAAATGTTAAGCCCGTTTCTTTGGCTTTAAAAAGACGTTAAGATGAAGTCTCTACGATGAGCAAAACCCGAGATACAACCAACGATTTGAAGAAGTACATGATTAGTCAGAATCACGAAAAAATGCAAACTTTGACAGATCATATCTCCGAAGAAAAAAAATAAAAAAAAAATTCCCTCGAAAACGTGTTAGCTTATTTCATGTATAGAACCCATACAAAAATTTTAAGCGAATCGGGGCCAAGACATACATACATTTTTTTACGAAATCCGTCCGACTTAAAAAAGAGTGGCTCATATCTAAGTGCTTGTTTCGTATGCAGGGATCATCAACGTCTGAACGTTTAAGTTCTTTTAAATGGCATGTTCTAAGCACAGCGATCAAAACGCGGAAACGAGGATGCCAGAGTCAGGACTGAGTATCGCCGAGTATCTGTAACTGCATAACCAGAAGAATGTAATGTGTTTATATAATGTATATGCGTTAACACTCCTTCGCCTTAGTTTCTTTTAAGGTTTTTTCAAAATCACGAAACTTTTAGAAGAGCTCTTGCTCATTAGGATATGTTGTTAACATTTCCATTCTACTTAATTATGCGTTGAAAGTCTTATTAAAAAATTAACTATGCGCTTGTTATTTTCTTCCTGACAAAGTTTGGCACATTTTTTTTTTCAAATAAATGGATATTTGTTTGCCAAAAATAATGAAGTACTCAAACTACACATATGTATGTATGTACATATGTAGATATATATATTTTATGAGCCTATACAAACATACATACATGAAGACACCCGCACTAAATATATTTTAAAATACATATGTGTATGTAGTATGTATGTACATATTTACTTAGTTTTCTTGTACATTTGTATCTTAATATATATTAGTCAAGATTTATGCGATTTTCTCGCATTTAGCTTTTGTTTTTTTTTTTCTACGAATGAGTGATAAAAATGATTCATATGTCTACTTACCGAATTTATGGTAGCCATCGTGGTGAATAGTGGTGGTGGTGTTGGCGATGGTTATTTTGTTGGTGGTATTTATGGTTGTAATGGTATTGGTGGTATTGGTTGTGGTTGTGGTGATGGTGGAGAGGAACAAAATCAAAAATCTGCAAAAAAGAAACAAGAAACAGAAAGATGTGTAAAATTCATTGATGACGCTAAATGATGCAAAATATAATAACTACACACGGTGGGCAGGAAGCGAAGATAGGTTGCATAAAAATGTCGACAAAATCTGAAAGCAGGGTTGTATTTGTTGATATCTTAAGGTTAAGAATCCGCTTAAATTGAAATCCTAGCTGCTCCTGTTTTAAAGATATCCACATTTTATATACTTCTGATAGGATATATTTGGAAGGCGTACTTCTCGATAATTAGAGCATATTTATACGAAAAGAAATCTCATACAAATCTGTTCCCCTTTTTTAACTAAAACGGATCAAATCAATGTGAAACATTTTCATTTTTTCCTACCGAAAGAATAATTGATCGAGATTTATTGGGCGCTACCGGTATACAACCTAGATAAAACACCACAATTACCTTTTTCTGTAGCGTGAACTTTCTCATTACAAACACTTTCAATATCGCAATATATGTATGTATGTATACAATATTGTATGCTATATAATACGGTAGTAATTTTTTATTAAAGGTTTGTTGCTATAAGCAAGTAGCGCAGGCCAGTCGCACTGCGCTTGTGCAAGAAATAAAAATGCTCTAACTTAGGCCAACGGTACTCCTCATAATAAGTAAATAAATTCAAAGCTTGTATGAGATTTATTTTGGTATTTATGTACTCTTCTGTCAGGAAATAATGACTATTGTACATCCAGAACACAAATGCGATCATAAAGAAAATCGCATGAAAGTATGCGCTTTGTGTGTAGGGCTGCCAGACGTCCCGGTTTTCCCGGACATGTCCCGGTTTTAGACTATTTGTCCCGGTGTCCCGGTCCAACCTTAAAATGTCCCGGGTTTCATTTAAGTGTCCCGGTTTTCGATTTGATTGCACAAATTTTGCTTAAAAATGACTACGCTGAGAGAAAAAACGCGTTGTAATATTAAGAAAAATTTTATGAATTTACTGGGGGAAATAACGCATAGTAAACATGAATATTTTTTATTTGATTATCGTTTTGAAATGTTCGTACTTAAAAACAATACTTTCATACCACGCACACGTGGTGTTGAATCAAACTGAACATTTGAGTGCACATTTACATGTCTGGCTGTAGCTGAGTGCACGAAGATGCTTGCCACAATTTGCTAATTTCCAGAGCGTCAGGGTTCAAATCCCATTGCAGACAGCATGGAATTTAAATAAATTTTTTTTAACTTAATTATGAAAAAGCATCCGTTAAGTGCAAAGCGCTTCATTTTAATATTGGCGTATTTCAATTGAATATTTCTATACTAAATACTAAAATTTGTATACTTAAATTATTACGAGTTGGGTTGGTGCTCTTTCATATGCGATTTTTTTTTTAAATGTAGCACGTTTTGCATAAGCAATAGTTGATGATTAATATAAGTATGTACCTAAATACGTTAAAATGACATGCACAGAGTTTTACAATTATAGCAAAATCCAGAAGTTTTGAAACAAGCTCACAGCAACGAAACAAATGACTGATATTTTAATGTTACCTTGTATTTGTTTTTTTTTTTCGTGAAACCTAGATTACTTATAAGTACCGTGCCGTACAAAATTATTGGCTCGGAGACACTTTCATCTGATCACAATTTCTAATCAGATCTTTTAGAAAAATGTTTAAAATGTAGCTTTTGAGCCAATTAGTAAAAAGCAAGTCTGAAGTTACCAGAAAATTTCGTTGATTTTTTGCAATTATTTATTTTTTGCTGACAGTGTCTTCCACATACAAAAAAATGTCGAACATAGTTTGTATGGAAGAAACTCTCAGTAAAAACAATACCAAATATATTGCCTCGTTCAAAGCCATGAGCAAAATCGTGAATACATGGTTTTCCGCAAAACAAGCGGATCTTAGTAATTTTGATAAAAATCTTAACGAACTCCGCACAGCTTTGAAAAGTACTGGAATTTCTCAAACTGTCAAAATCCATTTTATCCTTAAACATTTAAAGCAATCTATTTCATTCTTGAATAACGATGGTTTGGGATTATGGTCCGAGCAGGCCGGGAAGTCAGTTCATAGGGAATTCATTAAATTCTGGAATAGATTCAAAATAAATATGATTGATACACCAACTTTTGTGAGTCGTCTGAAGAAAACTGTAATGACATTTTCATTCCAGCATATATAAAAACTTAACTAAATAATAAAATATTTAAATACTAAAATGCATGACTGTATTATATGGTAAGCCAACAAAAAAAATAAAAGGAAACAAAAAACAAATATAAAAAAATAAAGCAAGAAAAAAATATAAAAAAATAAAACCAAAAAAACCAAAAAAAGAACAAAGAGGTGCAAAGTAAGTTGCCTCTACGTGGTGCGCCTTGGAAACGATTGAAACCGGCTAAAAACTTACATAAACTTATATTTTCACATAATATATATACACACATTTACTCACACATACATTGTTGAATATTTAATTCACAAGGATGTTTTTCTCTTTCGCAAAAGTCGGTCCTATCATAACTATGTAAAATGTGGATATCTTTAAAACAGGAGCAGCTAGGATTTCAATTCAAAGGGATTCTTAACCTAAAAATATCAACAAATACAACCCTGCTTTCAGTTTTCGTCGACATTTTTATGCAACCTATCTTTGCTTCCTGCCCACCGTGTACATATGTATGTATATTAGGGTGCCTCACCAGAAAAAAAAAAACAATTGCGCTTTTTTCCTCAGAAATTAAAAAATGTATTATATTTAAAGTATTCTGCCACAATATTTCGAAAAAATATTAACATTTACGTGAGCCGGACCGATTTGAAAAGATCTACAAAAATTAAGTTCTTTTATATGAAATTAGATTTAAAAAAAAACTTTTCCGAAAAATCACCTCAGAGTTTACGCTTAAATGGTCTGCATAAAAATGTTGAAACATTTTGTCAACGGAATGAAAATATTAAGATTTTTGAAAGTACTGCTAGCGTAAATCTTTATATTTTCCGTAATTTTTCGCAAAATTCTTAAAGTAAAATAAAGAATACATTCTTTTAATTCCAATGGAAAATTAATACCGCTTTTTATTTATTGTTTTTGTATGAAGAGTGATGCACCCCAAAGTACACATAACAAAATATGTATGTATTCATATAAGCACAATACAAAAATATGGAAGTGTGCAACTATGCCTTAATCTAAAGTGTGGTCTAAATAATTTAATAAAAAATAAAATTTTCCGCATTCTTTTTTTGCTCCTTTCCTTTTCTTACCCCTTTGACAGCTAACAAAAACAAGCAAGTTTTTCCTGCTAGCAGTCGCTACCCCTCGGAAAGGTAAATTCTAGAGAAATTATTTATAAAAAAAATTCGGATGCAGGGGAAATGGAGAAGATGCTCGGTCAAATGTTTAGCAAAACTTGGAGCGCCATGCGCTATGTACACACTGAGAATAATGTGACCCATAAAACTTCAAAGATTTTCTATAAGAATAGTTTTCAAATAAAAATGTATCACGCAGAAAGATTTCTTATTGTTTTCACGTACAAATTTTCATTTATTTTTTTATAAACTAGCTTAAACCCGCGGGTTTCACACCACGTTTTCATACACACATACGAACTTATATGCAAATTAAATTAAAAATGTTGAGATACTATTTTATTTCTGTTCTCATTGATAAACTACCACATCTCAGTAGTTTAGCCGATTTTAGATCATATTGCAGTGAAAGGGGCTGATTCCATTAAATTCGAATTTCGTTAAATCTCAATAAAAAAATGCAAATACCCTTAAATACTTTCTAATATACGCTGCGTGTAAATTTCTCTTTTTTCCAGTAATTCCGCTTTTTTCCATAATTATAGGCTTTATTTCATATATGAAGTATGCCAAATTTTTGACTGAAGAATGCCCTATTTCAGAACTCGGTTCAAAGACATCCTATTCCAGCTACCGATGCAAGCACGCCTTATCTTGACATATTTTCAGTTGAAAAGGGCGTTCTTTAACAAAATTCTGAGATAAGGCGTTTTCAATCAAATTTTGAATTAGGGCTTCTTGAAAAGTTTTCTGAGAAAGGGCGTTTTCGAATCGGCTGCCGAGATAGGTCGATCTTCCACTCAGCCGACGATATGTAGCTGAATCAATCCACTTCAATATTTGTACAGTGTTTTGCCCTTCTTTGCTGAAAATCAACTGAGATAGCGTAACCACTACATTATCTTAGGTTCTAGTTTTCGGCAATAGCCGTAGGAATTCACCGACATAAGTAATGGACATAATCACTTTTGAGCGAATTTCAATCAAAATCACATTGAATTCAAGCTGAATGGGGTTGAAATTAGCTCGGAAGTGAATTGCAGAACCTGCCTATATATTCGAAGCGAAAAAAAAAAACTATTAAACACCTTACGTTCTATTTCCTTCACCCATTTATTAGGTGGCCGATGACGCAATGAGAAAAAAATATTTGACTGGCACTTCAGCAATTCAAACTCGACAACGAAATGTAGAGATAAAGAGACACCTAGAATATAGAGATAAATTCATTTTTTCTTTTTTGTCTGCTGCGATTGAGCTTCACTCTTAATGTGCAGCTGTCAATTTTCCTGTAGGGTTTATATGTGTGTACACAAATTAACATATTCATATGTATTTTCATTTAAATTTCATAAGCGAATACAATATTCACACAGGCAAATTGGTGACGTTGAGGTATACGTCGTTGAACAGGAAGATGATTTTGGACTGCCATAATCAAAAAAAAAAAAAAAAACCAAGCAATAAACACAAGAGCACAGCAGAACAACAACAATGTGGTTGTTCACACCGGTGCCTGATTATCAGGTTATCAGGTTGTCTATGTGTATTTATAAGTAAAAATATTTTTTTTTATTGTTCGGTATAGTACCAAGATCATTTGAAGAAAAAAAAACTATTGAAGGATAGCCACCTGTTTAAAAATTTCGATTAATTAAATTGATAAAATATACGAAATATTACCA